TGAAACGCTGTGAGTGCATTGGAGCGTTTGATGGAGAACGCTCTCGTTGATCTCAAGTGGAGGACGTGTCCCGTCTACTTGGACGACTGTGTTGCCGTCTGTGACGACTTCTCGACACATATGATTCGAGTACGTCATGTTCTGGAGCGTTTTCGAGCTGCTGCGTTCAAGTTGAAGATGTGCCTTTGGGGACGTGATCAAGTGGCGTTCCTGGGTCATATCGTGACTTCAACTGGGGCATTACCGAAGGCGGAGGCGGTGACGAATATCGAGAGGCCGCATGACTTGTACATGGTTAGGGGACTGACAAGCTACTTTCGACGCAACATCCCAGGGTTCGCTGCGATTTCTGCGCCGTTGGATCGCTTGAAGCATAAAAACGTCGATTTCAGATGGAACGGCGACTACGAAGGCGCGTTCCGACAACTTCAACGAGCACTAGTGACGCCCCTGATAGTGGTGTATTCGAGCTTCAAAACGAGGTTTAAGCGTTACATAATTTGTTACACCTAGCAGTGGGAGCATGTCTGATGCAAGGAGTCGATAAGAGAGACAGGGCGATCACGTATGAAAGCAAGATACTGGTTGGATCGCAACGGAACTGGTTGAACAAGACAAGCGGAATGACAGAAATTGAGTGCCGGGGAATCGTATAGTATTCACGCCACATCCGGTGTTATCTGAGCTACATGAAGTTTGATCTGTACACAGACCATTAAGCTCTCACGTGGACCTTCTGCGCAACTACGAGAACGGTGAACGCCAAGTTCGCAGGATTGGCTATGGAGCTGTCGCAGATGCGGTTTAAGATATACCACAAGCCAGGGACGTTGATGGGTCGCGCTGACGGTTTGTCGCGACTGTAGCACCGACCGGATGATGGTTTGTTGGCGCCATCCGGATGGCTGACCTTCTCAACGACAGAGAGAGCGAAACCCCTGTCTTACAAGCGCCGACCTCAGATGAAGTGCCAACACAAGATGGAACCCCAGTCTTAAATGGAGCGCTACGTCAGAACGGCGCTGACGTTCTAATCCCAGTCTCGTAGTCTACTGAGACTATTGATCCTGATTGGGAGACTGAAAGAAGTGACCAACTGACTGGGGATGTGTCCGGGGCTGTCAAGACACTCACCTAAACTGCGGAGGAGGAAGACTTGCTAGGGGGACTCCACAGGCTATCCCATCACCCGTCTACGAGTTTGGATTGGACTATGACAAGTTCGTGGCCAAACAAGTACGCGTGTCTTCGATGCGAGCTTTGAAGACGTTACGGAAAGATGGAGCCTTGGCTTATGACCCGTTAACTGAGAGGGGGTGTGCTGAAGATGTCTCCGTACCACTTGATTCGAAACGGGGTTCTGGTACGTCTCGTTCATCTTGGAGCACGTACCGGCCCACCCATAACTTTGTGCGCTCCAGCTGTCCCGTTACAGTTCATCGAGAGGATCCTTCACTTATGTCACGCGGACATTTTCTCTGCACCTTTGGGGAGAACGAAGACGACAGACAAGGTGAGACGCCACGTGTACTGGCTTGGATGAAGGAAGGACGTGATCGAGTACGTGCGTGAGTGCTCTATTTGCAGTGGTGGAAAGGGTCGTAGATCCCGGAGAGCTGGACTGATGCAGCAAATCCCAGTTCGGGACTTGTCTATCCCGTTCTCTCTACACGTAGTAGACGCAATTGGACCATTGGTTGTCACCCCGCGCTAAAACAAGTACGCTCTAGGGTTTGTGGACTTTTTCACGAAATGGGTCGAAGCATTTGCTGTCGCTTCTTTGGACACGATATCGTTTGTGGACGCCATGATAGAGGGCGTTATCTGTCGACATGAAGCACTGGAACGTCTACTGGGTGACCGCGGGTCCCTGTTCACGTTTAATATGACCAAGTCACTGTATCAGACGTTGGGGATTAAGAAGATACTCGGTGCGGCGTACCAACCACAGACCGAAGGTCTTGTGGAACGTTTTAATGGAACGCTGATGAGTATGCTGCGTATGTTTGTGAACGAGACGCATGCCGACTGGTACGTGTATCTGCCAAGGATCATATTTGCGTATCGGATGGCGTATCACGATGGCCTCGGTGACACCCTGTTGTTTAGTCTGTACGGTCGCGATCCTGTGCTTCCTTTTGGCTTGGCGTGTTTGGATTCTGGAAAGGACTGGAAGAGTAACGAAGTTGCGACGTACCGAAGGAAATTGTGTCGCTCGTTGCGTGACACCTGACGTCTAGTAGAGCGTTATCTACCCATGGCGCAGGATAGACACGAGCATCGGCTGGACAGCCACGTGAAGGTACCATATGCTGAAGGAGCCGCAGTCTGGGTGTATCAGTATTTTAGAGCCCGAGCTGGGGAACTCAGAACGTGCTCTCCTGGCACGGTCCCTACCGTTAGGTTGGCCAAGTCGGGAAGAACGCCTTCAGGATCGCGATTCCGACACACCCGAACAAGGTTGTCACGGTGAACCTTAACCACTTGAAGCGTTTCCAAGGGCGCTGTAGCCGACCTTACGCGGACGAGATGCCTGATCGTGTCGACGAAGACAATGCCGAAGACGGCTAGGCGTCGAGGAACTGGTACGAGCTTCGTGGAAAGTTTGTCGGTCGGTGAAGAGGAGACTGCTTTCTCTGCTTAGTTGACGCCGATAGCGGACGTAATCGCGAAGAGGGTTACAAGGCGTGCGTTTCAGTAGCTAGTTATCACTGCCACATACGAGATCTTCTGGTTGTCTCGAGCGGCGTTGGTAACTGGGTTTGGAACGATGATACGTGCCTTTGAAGACGCGGACCGGAAGAAGAAAGGTCAGCCCTAGTTGCGGCAAAACGTCAGATTGGCTGAAGCCAATGCTGATGGCGATGACGCTGACGCTGATGTGTTGTTCTACCTGGCGAGGAGGCCAGTTGGAGCTTGTGTGGTCCTGGAGCTGCACGGGGGTGTTTGAGACAAGAAAATTGCAAGCCACTGAGCGACGTGCGCATATTTTCTATTTTGAAACGACATCGGGTTGCTCTTTGGGTTTTACGTAGTTGAATATTTTGGGAACGTCATGCGATTATGAAGACGGAATGCGTTGATTTGGAACAAGAAAAGCTCTCTAAGGAGATTTAATTAAGGATTGAAAGTTGGAGCTGACGGAGAGAAGAAGAAAAAACTAGACGAGGGGGAACGACGGAGCGTTACAGTAACACGTCAAAAGGAATGAGAGATACGAACAGCTACAACACGATGACGGGAGGGCCTCAGGGTTACTTGGCGGTCTTCTTTGGGTCATCAATACCTTCTTCCTTGCCGCTGTCCTCGTCGCCAGCTTCTCGCTCAATGAATTCGTCTTCTTACTTCTCTCAATGAATTCGTCTTCTTACTTCTCTGCTTCTTCGTCGTCAGCCTCCGCCCTTCTTAGTCGTAATCGACAGCGTCTTCGTCACCGTCGGCGTCGGAGCGAGAGTCTTCCTCGGCCGCGGCTGCTTTCGCTTCCTTTTCGCCCTCGACTTCGAATTCGGACCAGTCTTCACGACGACGTTCTGACCTGGACGGAGGTCGGACGGCTAAAACTTCGTATGTTTCCGCGCTAATTCGAGCCATGGTGTCGTCCTCGACGATCTTGACGGCGTGGCTGCTGACGAGCGTCTGCCACGGTTCCTCGTTCTTCTCACCTGCTCAAGCTGCGTCCAACTGCGCGCTGGACATGGTGGCGTGGCGGACACGAGCCAGGTCTGCAAACGAGAGCCGCCCCTTCTCATCTGTGTGGGGGTTGAGCGCATCCGTCGGAACGCATGTTGGGGTACTCGTAAGTGTCGATAGTCGACGGGTTCAGCGCGTGGCGTTGTGTCCCTCCTTGTCCTTCGACTTCAAGGACGCGAGACTATCAGCTATGAGTCCGACGTATTGGACGACCGTCGCGTGTGGCTCTGCCGGGCTGGTCTCCGAACCCGTAGATCTCACGGCGCTTCTCAAGCATCTCTAGGAAGGTTTAAAACCCTAAGTCTCGATGCAGATGCTTGTAAAGGCCCAGCGAGCTTGGCCGACACGCATCTTCACCTTACGACTCTGAGTCATGGCTGCAGCAGTGGCGAGGGCAGCGTAGTGGGCCCATGCCTAGAAGGCACGACGATGGGGCCCCCAAAACGCCAGTGCGCGCGATAGACGTACCAGAACTTAATGAAATCATACCAAATGAAAGGTCCGGTCCAATGTAACGCGAAAAGCCAGGGTTTCTTGCCGAGCGCCTCCGCCTTGGTCAGGATTGCAGCAATCGCCATATGAGCAGGGACTGGAGCGGCGGGATTCACGTCGAGAAGGTGGCTAAATTTGTTGGACGGAATGGGTGGCTTCTTGGGCTCGCTGGCAGAGCAAGGCTTCTTCGCGGATTCCCTGCTGGCCTTGTGCTTGCCTCGCGCCGGTGACATGGGTGAGACGACATTGACTGCTTGCTTGACGACGACATTGAAGCCGACACGAAGCCTGAAGAGGAAGCCGTGTCCGGCGGCGCGGAAGGACGTACACAGGTCTCTTAAGGTAAGCACCTGGTCGGACATTTAGGACTTCCAGATAAAGCTGGTCTAAAACCTGCAGACCAGACGACATAATGTTGCCCCCCCCCCTCTCTGCCACGCTCGCAGTTCGGCCCAGAACTGTTGCTTGAGCGCCCGCGCGTCGTCACCGGGAGTGTCATGCTCTTCTCGATCGAGGGCGGCGTTTAGAAACGCCCGGACGCGCCTCTGGTTGGCGGCGGAGGGTCGCGTTGACATGGCGAGGAAGCAGAATGCGGATCGAGAAAAGATTGGAAGTTGAAATGTCTCGAGCCTTTCTGTTTTGTTGCTGCCAAGAGGCACGTGAGGAGGGTCGACAGCTGGGACGAGGCCTTGGCTTAGGAACGCAATAACGTTTGTTGCCTTGGACTGGCAACAAACGTGTCGGTTGAAGAGCCGTCCAAACTGCCAGCGGTCTGGAGGAGCTGTGACTGAGATGGCGTCTTTTGACGATTTCTAGAGATGGTGGAAGTGTTTATGATATGGGTGGATTGGATGCACTCGCTGATGAAGATTGAAGTGGCCGACGAGGCGAGGATCGCCGGCAGTGCAGTCATGGAAATTGTAATTTGAGCTGCTACGACTCCTATTCGGAACGTGTCGTGGGCGTTCCTTGACGGAACGCTTGAGGATGTCCGCGCTATCTACTTCTTCTGGTATACGTGCTGTGATCGATAACTTGTGGCGGCAAAAAAATCTCATCCCGCAGCCGTACCATCTCCGGAGCACGCGTGTGCGCTCATGAAGCTGCTGTTCTTGGTTTCAATCGCGGTGCTAGAAGACTACGAGTATCGGTTTGGTATTACGGGTCGTATGTGTCTAAAGTATTTCGACGCGTTTCACCATTCGGGCTGCCCGTGCGTTCCAGATGCGAGTCTACGGAGAACGTCCTGCGGGTACGCTCAAGCCACCCGCGAATCTGTAGTAGTTGTTGTGGACCGTATTGGAGATTTTATTATGCGGAGCTACTTGCTGACTTCACTACTGGTGGCAATCCTTCTTTACTTACCCCAACTGATGTATGAGAGCGTTGATGGAGTGCTATGTGGCTGGATGACAGTGGCGCAGGCTGTTTTGGCGGTAGACGTCTACCTGGAGTTTGAAATTGGGTGCTGTTACTGGGATTTGGCAGTGCTAGTGATCGGTTGTTACAGCTACGTAATGCGTTATTACAAAGGACTTTGGCCAAGTGCTGAGGGAAGGATGAGAGGGCTGCAAGACACAAGTGGGAAGGACTGTCTGGTCGCATCGGGCGCCGTGGAGAATAATAACATGCTATTGTGGAGCGACTACGAGGTACGCTGGTGGAAAAAAGTAGTTTGGAGCGAGGAACGCGATCCAAACAACGCGTGGAACGTCATGTGGGGACGTTCCAGATTTGGCTGCCGAATCCACGGTGCGACAGGCTTGGGCCAATACGGCTCGGCGACGACACCGAGCGTCAGTCGGGGAGAATTGTCACGGTGTACAATTGGATGATAAACTTACAATGATGGCTGACCGCAAAAATTCTATTCGACCCAGACTCCCCACATCACGTCCAAGCAAGTGGGGCATACGGCTAAGTCGTGACGTTCCAAGTGTGCGCGATCGGCAAGCAACTGGACGTGGGGGGAATTGCAGCTGGACCGCCACCTGCGAGGAGTCTGCTGAAAAGAAAGGAGCTTTCACTCTTTGCGAGGTTGGGTGAGGAGTTCAGGCGTGGATTTTCCTTCTATCTAAGAACACAAGAATATATCAGCGTTTCAATTCCTTTTTGAACTAGTCGCTTATACAAACTACCTCCTACGTAAGCTCAAGATACACTACCCCGATAAGAGGAAGCTCGCGACAGCTGAGCGGCGAAAACTGTACGTGTACCTCTCTTAATTTGACATATACATGGCAGTATACGTGTGAAATATATCGGCGAGTTCTTCGTTGGTAATCGTGACAACATTCAGCACGCACAGGAAGGGATTCCTTCTGCCAGAAGGCCTTAGATCTAAAGGCTGAGATGGTGCAGGTGGTATAGTCTATACTCTAATGCCTCTTCGCTGTGCTTATTTAGTACGTACCTGTATCTGCCAGCATTTTTTTTTTTTTTATGCTGATGTACGTTCTTAGGTAGGAATTGTATACTCCCATTTCGATTATTTCAGCTCCACTTACTGCTGCGCTTTCTGACGGTAACGCACCAGTACTGTACCTCCATCTGTAGCATGCACCTGGCAGACCCTGCCAGTGGTTGTGCCAATACCACAGTCATACCACAGTTAGATTTTCGATTGAGGGTTGGGCTCCGTTCACAGGGCCTGTGTCTTCATGCTACTTCGCGGTACTGTACACGTACGCAATACTGAGATAGGCGGGTTTATGACGTTCAGTACGCCCCCGATGAAAACTACTTCAGTACAAGTACAAGTACTACTATATATTAACATTGTGGATACAACCTCACCAGAACTACAATATCTATTTCAGTAGGAGTATAATCAAGTAATAACCGGACAAAAACCAACTTAACGTTGTCAGAACTATATTACCTTGCTCGCTGCCACAACTGCGCGGACAGGTTCTGTGGTGCCTACAGTATTATTTGTACATAAAAGCATAATAAAGTAATCGTCGGGAGAAATCTACTGGTGATGTTGTACAGAAATAAGATCTATTTCTCTCGCTTTAGAAATAGGAAGGCTGTGGCAGATGTGTTCTTTTTTCAGCGGACGATCTGTACTGACCGTATGGATAATACCTGTAAAGTGCTCAATCGAATTTCGTTCCAATGTACATGTGTCACAATAATAAGACATTAATAATATGTTTTACACTAATCTATTTATCTGATACATCACAAACTCGGGTTTGTACAATCAAGAATGTACCACTACGCTATGACAGTACAGCTACCGACGAGCACCCAATTAAAGCATGTAAAGGAATCTAGCAGCCATGACGGTCCAGGAGAAGAAGATGTCAATCAGCCGCAGGCTTACTTTTCATATGACCAAGAAAGTGTTCAATTTCAGTTGCATCATAAGGCTATATATCAGGAGTGTAAAACTATTTGGGATATCACGGGGTCCCAATTAATGATTATGCTATTTTATATTAGATTTAAGCCGATACAGGCTCGTTTTCTTAGCTCAAAAGCCTTCAGTGGTCCTTTGGAGGTTACTTTTCCCCATAAAGCATGCACTTAATTCTCCAAAGCTGAGTAAACTGCATTGACATTTCAACTAGAAGCGCAAGGTTACGGACTGCAACAGAGGCGCTAATGGTGCATTTTGTCGATTACAGTAAGCTTAGAATGAAAAACCGCTCTCTGGCTCGAAATCAATGCACATCTATCCTTCATGACCTTCATGTCGTGAACAACGAAGCTCCACGTACTCGGGACAAGATGTGGAAGCTTCGACCTGTTGTCGAAGTGCTGCAATCGTTGTGATAATCAGGCTGGGCATTGGGCACTAAGTTTTCATGTGACAAAGCCGTCCTTCCGGCAACGTCAAAGCGGAACACCACGCGTATGCTTATGCCTGATAAATCTCATCGTTATGGTACGAAGCTGCTCATGGTGTGCGACGCTAGCAGTGCGTAATTTCACCGCTATGTTTTTATAATGCTGTAGCCAATGACTTGAAAATCGAACATTAACCTTTTCTACATCGTAACTTCCTGCTATCGATTTGAGATGTATGTTGGGAAGCGCGAGAGTGGGGTCCAGATAAACAAGCGTTCGACAGCAAGACAGGAGCAGGAGCCGTTGTTCGAAACATGAGGGCTTTGTGGGAAAACGATTGCAAGGCTTTCGACTTGTCGTTATCGTCAGATTCTATTCCTCCGTCCCACTAGCTATTCTGCTGTTGTCGATGTGTATCTACATGGTGGGAACGATCATGATGAATCGACTAAAATTCGGTATGCAAATTGTTGAGAGCCGCAAGTCGCGTCCTTTTTTGCAGTTGAGCGAGGCGCTTTTGCTTTTTTATCAGGCTGGTACTGTCCCGACCATGGCTGCGTGTCACCGTGGGATCGAAAACCAGTGCACTGCCTGGCAACCTGTCCGATCATGGCGGAGGACTCTATTCATCGCAACATCAAGAGGGTGGGACCGTCTACTGTAAAATGTCCGAAGATCGTTACGGATTACCAACCATGGGAGGGCGGAGTTGATGTCGATGATCAACTCCGCCTGCCCGAGAGGTTTTTTCGACTGCTGCATTGTTTATATGTCACCAGAAAGCTCGATGATGGTGCCATTGCCGCTAAAAGAACGCCCAACCTAATCCAGGCAGTGCTCAGAAAAATTTACTATAACTAATAGCACTGGTATTTCTCTACCACATTTTTCTATATTGCTCGCTGCCAATCTCGCAAATTATAGCTATAAATGCTCCCGATTGCTGCACCCGTTTTGTTTTGCCACAGAGTGTGTTTGTCTCGGTGTCAAGGTGCGACGGATAGTTTATGCTGTGGGGTATCATCGCCGATCTATCAGCTACATTTACTCTCGCTCAAACTGATGACTAATAAAGTAATTCTTCGCGAAACTGCTATACGTCTACGTCTTACTTGAGTACTATTTGTTAAATGACTACTTTAGTAGAAGTACAAATAATACACGTACTGAGCTGTTACTACTGGAGACCACTAAAAATATCGATAATAATGGTCCTCTTTAACAAATTTGTACAACGAGGACAACAATGATATAAATGGCCGAGGCCAAGGCTAAATCAAAAAGAAGACAAGGCATCAAATGCAGACGTATCCATAAGCTGGTCGACAGGGGTCGGCTGTTCACACGACGTCTTGGATAAAGTAGAATGACCACTCATTAGGGTAGTCGAAACGACTAGCGCTTATCATACAAACTCATAAAGCGGTCCTTTGCTACAACCTGTTCCTGCGTGACACCAATTCCACCGGTGAACCTCACTGCTATCATCAAAAACACTCACGACGAAATACACATTCTGATTTGTAGCAGGATGGCGTGATTCTGCTGTGGAAAACACGAAAGCGCTGTCCAAAGAGAGTGGCTTTCTGCTAGTAAATAAATAGTAGTAGGATATACATGCCTCTCAGGAGCAAATTTAGTAGCTAATTCAATAGTATAAGCCTTCTGACGAACTGCGAAAAAGTATAGCTATATTTTTTTTCATGTAAGCCAGTCGACCAATTTTGTGAGCTCTGAGTCTAACTGGGGAAAGCGATCCGAACGGTGCGACTTTGTAGTCAGAGATTCCAATGGTACGGATTTGAGTAGGTGCTCCTGATTCAGGATGTTTTTAACGTGGCAGCGCGCTATCGCTGAAACACGTTTTAAGTCCACAACGCAAGGCTTAATTATAGATTTTCCGGCTTCGTGGCGTCATTATTCATTCCTCAGCCTGTTTTGTGACGTAAGTGTGGCCTTAGTGGGCGAAGATATGTGCAGTATTGCAACGTTGGGCAAGGAATTGATAAATGCCATCGTAAGCCGGACTCCTTAGCGAACTCGTGTGTCCCTTATATCGGGTACAGCTTCTAATAGATATTTCTATATATAATTATAAAATGTGGCTTCCCGACGCTATCAATACAGAGAGTAATACATGAAGCACGTGAAAGTATATCCGCAAACCACTTCATCGTATTGGCATCCCATGCGAGGGCAGGAAGGTGTCCCAATTGTTAAATCCTAACGTTGATCCGGTGGTGAAGTAGGTTTCGTATCCCTTTTCAGAGAATAATTGCGGTAAACCCGAGAGCTTGGTGTTTCGCATTTCTCTTTCCTCCAGTAATCCCGGTCTCTGTGTTGCTGTGATACGGGACTTGCGCATACAACACACTCTCCAGAGACCGACTCGTACTGGACCAAATATTGCGCAAGGCGACGCCTCGCTTCGCCCATCGGTCGAAATTCGGCGTTATTGTCAAATTTGAGCCTTTGAACAAGTTTGACGGGTCTTCCTCTCCCACGAGGTACCGCGAGTCTCGGTACCGGAAAGATTCCACTCCAATGATTTGTCGTTGTCAATTGTGACGTTTAAGGCGAGTGAAGCCTGTGGTGCGTCTGAATAGTGTATCATCTCTAAAGCGCTCGTGTTCTTCGGCCTTGTCAATAAACTTCTCTACCCACGGTCCATCCCCCATTAGGTTCGCAAGCTCTACCTCCATAGGAGCAGGCTCAAATATGTGGAGAAGTAACTCGTTCAGTGTCACATTTAGCCCTATGTATGCCACGAGCGGTGTGGAAGCGATCCGGGCTGCTACTGCAATCACAGGTGCAACTACAAGGCCCAGGATGACGACAGCAGCACGTAGAGCTTGGTAGCTTGTAGTTGGCGCTTCGGTCGCCTTCTTCAAGGCCTTATCAGTTGATCTTGTGCCATCTTCTAGAGTCATAGCTTCGTATTTGACACCTCCCGCACCGTTCTTCGACGATTTACCGATAGTAACGGGATTCAGTACTAGCTGGGTTGGGTTCCAGAGTGCCAGATTAGCCCACCTTG